TTGGTGAAGAGGACAGAAAAAGGAATTTACAGTGTGGAATGAGGAAAAGAAAGAAATGGAAAAAAAATGACTTTGAAGGGTCTCTTTCAGACTATATCTCTGCTGTCATAATACACATTGTGTCCAGACATGTGCAGAACTAAATCCCCCTATCTCAGCTAACCAATGGCAGACACCACGATGCAGACTAACCTCAGGCTACAAGGCCCAATTTGAGCTCCCTGATCTCTTGCAGGGTTGAACTCCAGACAGTTCTATTACAGGTTTCCCCCGCCCTTTCTTTAAAGATGTTCAAATTTGGGAGCTCAGAAAATTACTCTTTATAACCAGCTGTGCCTCTGTGGAGTGAGTCCAAGGACTGGCACAATCAGGAGGTCTGCGGGGTGGGGGTGCTCAGTCACTCCTGTGTGGTTACCCTCCTGGCACAGGAGCAATGGCAGCACCCACAGGGGAGGGTCCAGCTACCCGGTCCTGTGGACTGGGCCCAGGCAGGCCAGAGGGAGATCTGATGTCTGAGCCACTTTAACCAATCTCACCTTCCTGGCGTTGTAGCAGTAATCTCCAACCTGAAGTTCTGGGGTTGGGGTAGAAGGGGAGGAGGAGTTTGGTAGGAGATCAGTGTTGGCTTACATACACTTTCAGTATTAGAGGTACCTGGATGGGAAAGTGGATGATAAGCCCAAGATCACTTTTATCAATCTTGAGGTCCAAATGGGAAATACTGCCAGCTTGCATGTGGAGTTCATGAAGCAAAGATGCCATAGACATGAGTGACAGTATGAGCTACTGTCTGAAAGTGGATTATCAACCTGCAGATCCCTGCTGGGCTATGGGTGATGTGTGTGTGTGTGTGTGTGTGTGTGTGTGTGTGTGTGTGTGTGTGAAAGCCTCAAGTCAGCCTTCTAAAAAAGAGTCAAAACCTATGTATCTGCCTATAGTCTCTCTGCCCACCATTTTACCTAGGTTGGTATTTATAGCATATAAATCAGATCAAATAGCTCCATCAATGAAATTTATTCCATAGCTTCACATTGCCCTTGTTTTTTTTTCACTCCAGCTTCATCAGCTAGATCATTCTCTGTTATCATCTCTTGCATTTTGTCTCCTTGCTTGCAACATTCTTAACCACAAGGCCCTCCTTCCTAGTCTTGGAACACTCCAAACCCTGAGACCTTTACCCTTGCTCTTCTCTTTGCTTGGAACACCATGTACAGGCCATCTCACATCTTGATCCTTCTTGTCGTTCAGGACTCCACTCAAATACCACCCTTTCTGTGTCTATCCCATCCAGTTTGGCCATCCCTTCCTCCAATCACTATTCATTTGCTGAGCTTTATTTTCCATGCAGCACATCTCTGTGCTTAAAATTATCTCACTCATTTCTTTATTTGCCTAGAACTATGCCTTGTGCAATGAAGGAATGAATGAGTAGGCAATTTTAGGGTCTACAGGTATTTTTACAAAATGCAAATGTGAATTTTGCACCTTATTCCAAAATATTTATGTTCTTGTACTATAGAAGTATAATTTAATTTACATTAACATATGGCAAGTTGGGTTAGATTGTTATTAAATGAAATAACAAAGTTATGATTGAATAAGTGAATGAGTGGATGAATAAAATGATAGTGTTCCATGGATACAGACCATTTATATCCCATGGCATCTTGTAGCTCCTGGCATAATATTGGGTACACAGACCCCAGAAAAACATGATCCTCTGAGTGAGAAGGGAACGTGATGCTCTGTTGATTTCTCTGCTCCTTATGGAAGAGACAGAATTTCTTCAGAGTCACAGAATATTTTCAAAGTCAAAAGAAGCAGAATACTCCAATTTTCTCCTAGTGATTTAATAAGGAGGTTAAGCCAGCTGACACCTGATGAGGGTCGTGTGCATTTGCGTCCTGGCCCAGGCTCCCCACGAACACAAGGAACAGAGCATCTGTCACTGTGAGAGCATTTGTGGCTCAGGCCCTCCCACTTTCTGCATGAGGAAATCTGAAGAAGACCCCAGTGTTCTGTGCCTCAGAGGATTTTCTAGCCAGGTTACCATCCCCTGTACTGAACTAACTACCTTTGAGTCACTTTCAAGAAACAACACCTCCTGAGCTAATCCCACCCTTGCACCCAGCAGCCTTTGAGCATTACTTCCCTGACATGTGCACAGGAAATCTTTACACACGTTACTAACATAATGTTAAATAGCATCAGACCAGGAAAATGCTGGCAAAACAAACAAACAAAACAAAAAACACAGCTTGTGTCTTCAATAAACTTGGAAACCTTCCTTCTTTCAGTTAGATGAAGTCTGACTCCATTTATAACTTCTTATTTGTAGATTTTCACCTCCCTGGGATGCAATTCTTCCACCTTACAGTCAGCAATCCCAATTCTGCAATTCTATTTGGTGTCTTGGCAGCAGGAGCACTGACAGCTTCTATTCTGTACCAGTTTTCAAGGATGTTATTTGAGAGCAAGCTTGAAAGTTAGAATAGGCGTCGTTCTCCAGGACAAAAGGCACATTTACTTCCTGACCAATAAAATAAGGATAAAACTTCTCCCAGGGCAAAGGGCAGGTTTTCTAGCATCTCCCAGATAGGATTTGGGGTTTTCCTAAGCATGAAGCTCCTGAGCTTCTGAGCTGCAAGAGACTCACAGCATGCACACCACACACCTGAAGTACTCGGGTGAATTAGGGTGAGGTGAGGGGATTCCACATGAATGTTCAGGTCAGGTTTTGCTATGGTGTAGAATCTGTTGACTCTGGTTCAGAGGTCTCATGCCTTCTGCCAGTAGCCATGAAACCACTTCAGGCTAACTTGTTGGTGAAAAAGTCAGACCCTTCACAGGTCTAGCTTATAGCTGTGATGGTATGTGTGTGAACGCTAGAAATTCATGTGTTTCAACTCTAATTCCTCAAGGTGGCAGCGTTAAGAGGTGGGGTCTCCTGGGAAGTGTTTGGCTCACAGGACAGGGCCCTCAGAAATGGATTTGGGCCCCTCTCATGTGGGAGTTCTCACTGTCACAGGACTGGATTAGTTACCACTAGATTGGGTTGTTGTAGAGTACAATGGTCCCTCATGCTTTGACTATTTTGTATATACTCACTGTCCCATTTGCTTTCTGCCATGAGTCAAAACAGCCGAGGGCCCTCAGTTGTAGCTACCCAGTTGCCTGGACTTCCTGGTCTACTGAACCAGGAGCCAAAATAAACCACTTTAAAAAAAATAAATTACTCTCAGGTATGCTGTTACAGCAACAGAAAACAGACTAATACCTTATAACAATACCTTATATCAAGATAATACCTCATAACATAACTTTAAACACACATTACCACCAAACTTTATACATTAAACTAGACAGAATTTCAAGTAAATGTGTCTTGACTCTTCCAGGACAGATAAGCTTGCACTGTCCTGAAAATGCCCACAACTTTGTGCTAACAAGTCATTCTTTGTAAGTCCTGCACCTGGGGATGTACCTGTGTTGTGACCTTCTGGACCTCCACTCCTAGAATGTGACCCAAGCTCATAGAGCTCTCCACATCCAGCCTTTGGTCCTTTCCTCAACACCTACCACTCAATGAGCCAGAAAGCAGCAGGCAGGACATAAGGAAGAACAATTAACAAGAATGGACCTGAATGAATTACCTGGAAGTTCCAGAGCATGAATCATGTCTATGATTGTTCTTAGGAAAAAAAAATCAACCCCAGCCTCAGAGTCCAGGTTGCCTCTCTGCCTGGGAAACAGAAGCCCATTGCCCTGGATGCCAAGAATAGGAGACCTGCTAACTAGGCCACTCCTGGCTCAATTCTAGGCTCTTCCCCAGACAGGATACACAGAGAAGCAGTGACCCAGAAATGAACCCACACAAGGAAACCACCACTGCATCTCTGATCTGGATTTGACAGCTTTTTAATCCCCTTCTCATTACATTTTACTCTGTAGTACTATGGACAGAAGAGATGTTAATCAGAATTTTGTCTTAAAAAACAATTGCTGCTAAATGTAACTCAAACAAACAGGGAAAGTCAGGCAGCTGAGGGGGATTGTTTTGGGTCTCAGCCAGAAGTTCCTGCATGTGGGTTGAGTTTCTGCTCCCTATGAACAGAGGGGGCCTCATTTCTTCACCTGTAAAAAGGGAGATCATACAATTACATTGGTCTTGGGGCCCACTGTGGTGGTGGCCATGAGGGCAGAGAGTGTGAGAGCACTCAAAAAGTTGTCCAGTCTTCCCAGGGCACACAGATGAGGTAGAGAGAGGGAAAGGTCATTCCTAGGCAACCCAAAAGAGGTTCCACCCTGAAAATCCTTCCCTCAAAGGAGAGCTCCTTAATAGCTGCCTGAGCAGGAGCCATGCTCCCTGGCTCTGAGTCATGATCATATTAATAGTAAAATTCTCAACTTAGTAGGTGTGCCTGATAAGCCAGATGTTTCACACATGTAGAATCCTATTTCCAATCTTGAGTCATTTTGACAGTTATGATATTTATACCATCCTATGTATTTTTTTTTTTTGACACTGGGGATTGAACCCAGGGCCTTCACACTTGAGCGGTATCACCAACCCTTTATCATTTTTTAATTTAAGGCAGGTTGTCTCTAGTTCACTAAGATTCCCAGGCCAGACTTGAAGTTAAGATCCTTCTACTTCAGCTTCTCAGAGTGCTGAGATTATAAGTGTACCATCACATCTGGCTAACTCTGGGCTCTTCTGACACTTTAAATGTAGAAACTGGTTCTGAAGAAACTCACAAGGTGTGTCTGACATCACAAGCATTCTTAGAGCTAGGAGACCCACCCAGGTATGTCTGTAGCCATAGCAGAAGGACAGCCCTGTAGATGGGACAGTCCTGCCACTACAGAGAATGACTCATGATGACAGGGCATGTGTTCCCTTTTTGGCAGACATGCACCCAACATAGGCACCTTTGTGTGTTGCAGTGGAAAGGCCTTTACCATACGTTATGTACTAAATCCTTATCTTTCCATTATAGGAAAAGATGATTGTGGCAACATAAGCCTGCAGGGAGATGCAGGGGATCACCGAGCACATCTGGCTGGTTGGGGACCTGGATGTAGCAAGGTAATTGGTGGTATTTCTCTTCCATGTAAGTGGGAGGAGAGGAGGGACTGTGGACTTTGGAGGGATGCAGAGTCTGGAAGAGGATGGATTTAGATCTTGAGGTATTGTTTTGTCAAATGTATACCATGGGCTTGGCTGGCCTCTCACCCTCCCACCCGCTGCCCTGAATCACCACCTTCCTGTGTGACCCCGGACTGAGGGCTGATCCTTGCTTATTATGCTCTTCCATAGGACTGTTGGGAGTCCAGGAGCCTGGGAGGAGAGCCTGAGGGCTTAGGTGTGTTCTAGAGCAGGATCCCAGAAGTTACAACCTCTGACACAATCTTTTACATCCCTTAGGAGGCTCGGACTTGCCCTTGGCCCACAGAGGAGTCCAGAAGACATCTAACAATCACTCTGACAGCCAGGTCTTTTGGTTCTCTGGCCTAGAGCAGCCAGCCTGGTCAGTACTTGGTGGGCTGATGCATTTGAATAGCAGTTTCTGGGCAGCCAGTGACTTTGACCCCTAGCAGGACTCCCCTTCAGCCACAGTAGGTGGTCTCCTTACTTCTTGAGGAATGAAGCTACTGCCATCCACCTCAGAGAATTAACGGAGATCAAGGCCTAACTAACACTTACGGAGTGTTCTCAACATGCCAGGAAGGAGAGAAGTGTGCTTTATGTACTCTACTATTTACTACAAATCCAGGAATGGTGTATTGTTTTTATTTTATAGATGGGAATCCCCAGGTTTGGGGAACCCCTGCTCATGGCAGATGTGACTGACCAGTCTTGGGCTCTGCCCTGCCTGTCTGGACTTAGTTGATAACAGTACTCAGCGAGAGGTTTGGAACAAAATCTCAGAACTGACCTGGCGATGAAGCACCCCTGCTTTCCCAGTTATAGGCACTATATGTTTTTACACTAGAGTTTTCAACATTTGAACAAAAAGACCAGGGCATGCACAGGCTGGCTATTGCATATGCAGCTAATGCAATGCTCACAACACAATGCTATTTCTCTAGCCTTTGACTAAGGTGCATAGTAAAAACCACACTCTCTTTCTTTTCTCTGAGGAAAAGCATTTCTCTCTTTTTTGATACCTAGGTTGTGGCACATACTAATTGTATTTATATACATATCACATCCTAATTACTTTTACTTCCCCGTACCATGAAAAGGGGCTGTTGAGAGTCTGGATCACAGTGTCATCATATCCTCTGCACTTCTGGGCTCATATCCATGGCAGGATGCCAGTGGGTTCGAGGGCAGCTGCCCCAAGGGAGGGACATTGCTGCTTATCCTTGGTAGAAGACTGGCAGTTGCAAGGAATAGTGCCTGAAGGTGAGGCTCCATGTTTTGCCAGCTTCTGATTCACCCTTGAAATGTCACATAAGGCAGGAACACTTAGGCTCAAGAGCAAGTCAGAAATTTACCTTGTGACCCCTGACACACCTGTTGACCTCACAGGCCCAACAGATCAATACAATTAAGAATGAAAAGATGAAAATAAAGCGTTTGTAGATGGGGAGTGGGGAGGGGGTGAAGGGAGGGCAGAGGTAAGGGGAAAAAATGAGAATCAAGACTTGTCATGTAGAGGTACAAGATCCCAACAATGAATGTAACTGTACTGTATCCCTAAAATGTACCAATAAACTCAATTAAAGCTGAAAAAAAAATTTAAAAAAAAATGAAGTCTGGCGGAAAATTACAGACAATACTTAGTGCTCTGAAATTTGAAGCCAAAATGCCAGAAGCTGGTATTTATGAGAATTTGCCCACTTTGATAAAAGTATAAAAAAACTTTATGTCATAACACTCTAGATGGCTCACAGATTGCTACATTTATTGACATTTTTGCTTGCGTATGTAGTCATTTTTTTCTCTTCTATGAGTTATCACATCTCAACCCAAGAGGCCACATAAACAGAGCCATCATTTTGCTGTGTGAATGGGTGTGAGCATGTTTCTCACATAGATAGGGCTGGATTAGTGTTTGGGGCCACAACATGGCCTCTTTCTCTTCTGGATGTCACCACCTCCTGGCTACATGCCTCTATTTTCCTGTGAGACAAAGAAAGGCCAGTCAGCCCCACCTTGCCAACCCACAAGTTTTCTGGGATAGAAGAGGGTCCTGCTGCAGTCTTATGACCAAGTGGAGGAAAGAAACAGGTGGATGGATCTCAGCCATAGTTTCCTTCACTCTTCTGTGGGAATGTTTTGTCCCACTGTATCTGTACATTTATCCAGCTGGAACAAAGTACCTGAGGCTGGGTGGTTTAAACAAAGAAATTTATTGTTCACCCTTCTGGAGGTCCAGAAGTCCAAGATCAAGGTTCAGGCAAAGTCAGTGTCTAGTGAGGGTTCACTCTGTTTCATTGATAGCACTTTTTGGCTGTGTCCTCATATGGTAGAAAGGATAAGGCATTCCTTTTTTTATATATATACAAGGACCCTGATGTGGTTTAGATCTAGAATGTCCCCCTAAAGCCTCATATGTTTGGAAGGTGACTGGATCGTGAGAGTCACGATACTCATTAGTGAATTAGTCCACTGATAAATCTGTAGCTGAATGTGTTGATAGAGGTTTGGATTAGTAAGAAAAAGTGGGTCACTGGGGGTGTGATCTGGAACATTGTATCTCCCTCCCTAGCTTCTCCCTTCACTCTCTGCTTCCTGGGTGCCATAATGTGAGCAGCTTTCTTCTGTGAGACCCTTCCACCATGCCTTTCCTGCCCTGGAGCCAGCTAACCATGGACTAAATCTTGTAAAAGCTGTGATCCAAAATAAATTTGTTCTGCAAGCTGTGGGTGTTGGGTATTTTGTCCCAGCAACAAGAAGGTGACCAAGCACTAAATCCCATTCATGAGATCTCTACCCTCATGACCTAATCACCCCCAAAGGCCAACCTCCTGCCATGATCACTTTGGGGGTGCACATTTCAACATATAAAGTTTGAGGTAATAAAAAGTTGGAAAAGTTTCTCTAACAGGTTAAGTTGTGAAAATGCTGAGTTATCCCCTTTAATGTTTTATGAAGCAAAAGGCCCAGATCACCTTTGGTGCTAGGGGTTCGGTGAAAAATTTCTGGAACCCAAGTAGCACAGGATGCCAGCTCCAGAGCTGTGCTGGTGTGTGCCTGGCCACAGTGATTTCCACAGAGCCAGTGAGGTCAGTTTGTCACCATCCAGTGAGAAATATCTGTTAAGTAGAGTCTGATATTGGGTCACCTCAGAGGGCATCGGCATCACATTTTTAGCACCCAGATATTATTCTTTTAGTCCTGAGCACCAATTTCTTGTTTATTTATTCAACAAATGTTTATTGCAGACCTATTCTGTGGTAGATACTAAAGCTTCACCAGTAAGTGAGTGACACCTCATCCTCACAGAGCTTGCTGACTCCATTTTTTTGTAGTCAGAGGATCAGAACTCGTTTAACTGACCCAAGGTGCAAACCGTAATGACATGGGGTGAGAAAATCACCAGAGCCCCCCTCTACAAAGGAGGCCACAGGGCAGGCAGGATTCAAGGCTTCAAGGGCTTCTCATTGTGTCCTAGCATGGAACATTCCAGAAGGTCAGGATGAAGGGCCATTTAGGCAGAAGAATTCAGAGTCAGACAACCCAAACTGACCACAGCCCAAATCCAATTCCGCTCCTCTCTATCAGTGTGCCTTTGGAACTTGTGTTCTTGTCTGAAAAATGGGATGATGACTATGGCTGCCAAATAGTGTGGAGGGCTCGATGAATTATGGAAGTTTCCCCTACCCCCAAGGGATGCTTCCCAAGACCCCCAGTGGCTGCCAGAAATGCTTATAATCAAGTTTAATTTATATTAAGGCACTGTAAGAGATTAAGAATCAAAGCTTGTAATAAAATAAAACAAATATAGCGATATGCTGTAATAATATACTACATGTGTATGACAGTTAAGGTTGATTGTCAACTTGATTGGCATGGGAGCTGACCATGGAATTAATAAAGCTCATTTCTGGCTATGTCTTTGTGGGTCATGGGGGCGTGCCTTGCAGACTATATATGGCCCCTTATCTTATCTCTCTGGCAGTGTTGCCCTGCTGTGGTTTCCAGATACTATGAAGTGAGCAGCTTTACTCTGCCACATAGTTCTGCCATGATGTTCCTGCCTTGGAGCCAGCTAACCACAGACTGAATCCTCTAAAACCATATATATTATTCACTTTCCCATTGCTGGGACAAAATAAATACCCCAACACCTGCCACTTAAAGGAGGAGAGGTTTATTTTGGCTAACAGTTTCAGTGAGTTCAGTCGGTGGTTGGCAGGTGAAGGGCACAGTGGAGAAAATCTGCTCACATTATGGTGCCCAGGAAGCATAGAGAGAAGGTAAGAGCCAAGGATAAGAATACATCATTCCAGAGCCAGGCATTGTGGTGTACACCTGTAAGGCCAGCCCTTGGAAGGCTGAGGCAGGAAGATCATTGCAACTTTGAGGCCAATTTAGGCTATGTAATCACTTCAAGGCTAGCATGAACTACAAAGTGAGACCCTGTCTAAAAATTTATTTAAAAATATATATTTCTAGATCACATTCCTAGTGACTCATCCCTCTATCCAAGCCCCACCTCCTAATAGCACATGAACTACTGAATTCATCAATGGATGAATCCACTGGTGACTATAGCACCCCCATCATCCAATCACTTTCCAAACACAAGAGACTTTTGGGGGGACACTTTAGATCTGAATCATAACACTGTTGTGTTTAAATCTCTTTTCCTTTAACTTGTGGGTGGTGAAGATTTTGGTCAAGGCAATGAAAATGATCAATACAAATCAATGTAAATGTGCTCTCTCTCTCTCTCTCTCTCTTTCTCTCTCTCTCTGTGTCTGTCTCTGTCTCTCTCTCTCTCTCTCTCTGAGTCAAGACAAATGTTAATATTTTTGGATTGCCATGAACTGTGGTAACTGAAACTGTGTAAAATGAAGCCATGGATAAGTGGGACTACTGTAATAAAGCCACTATCAGATAGCATGAACTCTATAAATATCAGCTGTTATTCCTATAGTTGAATGGGCAATCATGCAGACTCATTCGTTCTGGGCATGAGGCCTGAATGGGAGGCAACATCATGAAAGGAGGGAGGATGCATGCAGCAGTTGGAATCTGGAGCAACATGGTAGGGCTCAGCACATCCTCTTGGGGGCTATGGTTTTAGAAAGAAGAACATTGACATAATAAAAGATATGGGTGGATATTTGGGCTTTATTTCTAGACATAGAAATTGAAATAAACATGTCGATGTTTTATGTTGTGGGCACAAACTCATGTATAACCCATGGAAACACATACTCCACATGCAAAAGAAAAACATGTTCCAAATTATTGTGCCTCCTGTCCCATGCAGACTCTTTCCTGGGCTACCCTGTGCCCTCCATAGGTTTAGCTTTCACAAAATAGCAAAGAACCCCACTCCTTGTGAATAGTTTTTCTGCCAAAAGAGTGGATTTGATGCCTTTTGTTGAACTCCGATCTGTCTCTCAAGTTTTGCTTTTCCCTGTGATCTTCCCACTTTCTGGTATGTTTGCAATGATGTTGTGTGCAGGGAACTTCAGCCCTCCATGTTCCACTTAGTTCTAGGAAAATTCACAGAGCAGCCACCTCCCTCCACGTAGAGGCCAGCATCATGATCCCCAGCAGGATTTCTCTGTACATGGTGCCCACCAAGTCCCCTGGCCCATGAAGACAGGAGCAGCTACAGCCCTGTGAGGGTCAACTGCAGATGGAAGTAAAGGCCAGTCGGGGAGCTTTGACTAAACAGACCTAGAGGAGGAACTGGATGTCTTTTTGCTAGCTCTTTCTTCCTGCACTATTTCTGAAGCTGGCAAACACAAAAACACAGCATGTGACTTTTAAGTCTGTGTCTGCATTGTTAGATCAAGTTCAGTAAGTTGACAGATGAAAGTGCTATTTTGAGATGCAAGATCAGTCTGAAGAGAAGAGGCTGGGTTGGAGCTGCTCAGGTTTGGATCTCGGGAGTCACTTCCCTGTTAACCCGAGCCTCCTCTACAACCAGACTCATACGGGCAAGAGATCAGTGCAGCTTGAGGGCATCTGCTGTGCCCCACATACCTGGAGCACACTTGGAAGTGCAGCTTCCCTACAAAGCACCAGGCAGGTGCACCTGAGCTCTGGATGGATGAAAGCTGATGCAAGCATTTATGTGTATGGGAGACAGGAAACCTAGGGAAGTACCAACACATGTCAAAGACCGTAGATGTGAGCCCAGCATTAAAATCAGTTCTCACAGGTTACTGTAACCAGGGCTCCTCCAGAGCTCCCCAGGCTGACCTCAGAGCAGGTAGGATCTTTGGTGTGCATTTTCCTCCGGACCTGGTCAGGTGAACTCTTGAAGTAGTAGATCACAGCAGGGTTTGTGCCATGTTAGCAAAGGGAAAGAGGAAACTGATCAAATGTTAAATATGTCCATGCTTAGAGGTCTCT